TTTTTTTTTTTATGCACCTGTGCTAAATAGCCAGGCGCCATTTAAGGGTTAAAGTAATGTCTGTGCGAGTTTTGGTACGTCAAGTAAATTACAGACTGTTTTCCTGTGCCTCTTGGGATGTGTTAGCAAAGTAGGATGTAGTTTCAATTTTGATTTCAATACGTGACTTAAAATAATAGTGTTTTAATGTAATTGTGTTTAGATATCTGTTCCCCCCTTTTTGTTATCAATGCTGATTTATGGCTGTCTGTGTGGTATTTGGACAATTTTCCCCTCCGTGTTCTCCTCCAGTAATGAGTACTAAAGTTACCTTTGAATCTCAATCAGTTAAGTAAAGATTACATCTTTAATTCCCAAGCATTTTCCAAGATAACTTGCCCCTTGAGTTCCATGATTATTCATCATGGAACTACTTCATGTTTATGGAACATGGAACTACTTCCCCTTTCCTTCCTGGGGAAGTAGTAATTTAGACACATTCAAATGGTTAGGGAGGTGGTGGCAGTTTTTAATGAGTGTTTAATTATTAGTTTTAAATTAATAATCCCTATTCTTGTCGATTCCTCCCCATTTAATATTCCAACTCATATTCGCAGTAACTTAGTGAGGGGTCATACCGAGCTGTAAACAGTGTTAAGTTGGGGTATTGAGTGAAGAGAAAGAGTAGAGAACAGGTAGGGTTGTTACAAGATTCTCGAGATCAACTAAACCCTACCCCGACTCTGAAACCCTCAGACGTTTTGGAGCCGGAAGGGGGGGAAAACACAAGGACAAACCACAGTAGGGGAAGGACAAGGGGGCCCGAACTTAACCAAAGTTAAAGCGACCAACCCCCGCAAGTCCGGGTCCCTATAACTAAAATGGGGCAGCCTTAGAGCTTCCAGGTCAGCAACCAACCTAGTGCACTACAGCAACCTAAAACAAGCGTACAATGACTGAGCTGCTTGCACCCAAATAGACATCAGTGGACTGGGTGTACCGAGTCACAAACAAGCAACAAAACTCACAGGACTCTGGGTCGAAGGTGTCACTAACCCAGCAGGCAGCATGACGGAGGCATAAACAAAGACAAAGGGGGACCGAGCAACTCTCAAACTCTCCCACAAGGCCAAGGGGGAACCCAGGTGTCACATCCCTCGGATCCACGCACTTCCGCGGGGTTTCTCAGGGTCCTGAGATGGAACTCATGCTCAGGGAAGCCCAGGCAGGGTACTCCTAACCGGCTCTCAATATTACCAACAAACTACTAAAGCTGCTCCCCCGGGACATGTACACTCACTGGGGGCCAGTGGGGGACCACCAAAATACAACAGGGTGAGACCAAACCAAGGGGCAGACCCCCCCCCCCCCCACTGGCAAGAAAACAAAAACATAAGAAAATCCCAGCAAGAGGACAATGTACCCAGGCAGAACAGAGCTGGCTGCTTTAAGAGGTGACAACTAGCTGCACTGTATCCTGCACCCCAACCAGTGATGAATACTAACCCCTACCCAAAAGCGAACAGGAGCGAAGAAAACACCTCAGCTGACTCCATGGGCAGCCAATCACTGAGCAGCAAAAAACGTACGGAGGTAGCCCCACAAAGTGACTTGTGAAAAGTGGCCCCCAAACCCTAAGGATAGTACTTACAGGTTACCTAAGGAAGGTGACCCTAGGCGCATGCAGCCCGAGTACTTGTGAAATTACTCCTGGTTCGTACACCATCAGACAAGAAGCACCACACAAAAAGGCACAGGGCTTGAAGACAGAAAAACTGAAGCCAGAGTCACACGACCATTGCCAATCGCATCAACCAAAGAACTGCGGGGTGGATAGCCAGTGTGAGGGTCTGGGGCTCCCTTCCCCCCTCCCAGGGAGGTGGGAGGGTTGCGCAGACAATGGCGTTGTGACGTCATACTCATTTGCGTGTTTTCACTTTGGAAGTTCTGTCTACTAGTTTGTCTTTCAGTAGCAATTTCTTAATCAGAATAGGGGTTTGCTTTGGAGCGCTTACCTTTCTGGATGCCTGACCCGGTCGATGGCAGACATAGAATGCTTCCAACCACTCAGGGGTTTCTATAGGCCATTGCTCTTAGTGCCTCTTCCGAGAGGGCCAAGTTCTGGCTCGTAGGCCTAGAACTCCATTTACATACTGATGCCAAAGTTTAATATATTCATATCAACTTGGAAAGCTCCTGGGAGCCAAAGGGGCTCCCCCCCCCCCCCCAGAAACTACCCTGTACACCACTGGCCAAACACACAACAAAATTACAATACTACATTGCAACAATGTTCAAACAAGTTGTAACAATTATCTGACAAGATGTAACAACTTTGTAACAGGTTGTAACAAGATAACAATAGGAACTGTTAGGGTGTGTGTTTGCAGGGCAGTCACTAACACGGACTAGCCAGCAACTGCCACCTTAAACCCAGTTCATCCAAGTGAACAAGGGAAAGTTGAAAATGTTATCATGGAGCAAACACTAAAGCCTGGAAACCTTATAATTGCATTAGCCTCTGCAACGCTGCATAGTGTGCTTGATGGATGCCTGGCACAAAATGAGGACTGCCACTACCCGTGACCCCGGTGGTATTAGCTAGTGCTGTTGTCTGGCTGTGGTCAGTGTAAGGGTAGTTATTTATGTTCAGTAGTTTTAGAACAATAATTAACAATCTTAGTAGTACCAATGAAAACTGGAAGGGGTTTTGAGTAGCTTTATAAATTCTTTGTCATAGAGAGCCAATATTCTTTGGCATATTGAGGTAAGGTTACAACTGTACTCACCACACCGGAACCCGAAAGTAGGCCCGGAACTGAGAGGATTGAGCTATGAGGAAAGGCTAAAGGAGTTGAACCTCACATCCCTGGAAAACAGAAGAGTAAGGGGAGACATGATAACCACCTACAAAATTCTCAGGGGAATTGACAGGGTGGACAAAGACAAACTCTTCAGCATGGGTGGGACACAAACAAGGAGACACAGGTGGAAACTTAGTACCCAGATGAGCCACAGAGACGTTAGAAAGAATTTTTTCAGTGTCAGAGTAGTTAATAAATGGAATGCACTAGGAAGTGATGTGGTGGAGGCTGACTCCATACACAGTTTCAAATGTAGATATGATAGAGCCCAGTAGGCTCAGGAATCTGTACACCAGTTGATTGACAGTTGAGAGGCGGGACCAAAGAGCCAAAGCTCAACCCCCGCAAGCACAATTAGGTGAGTGCCTAATTGGACACCACGAGCGTAGCTCTCATCCTGTAACTACACTTAGGTAATTACACTTAGGTAATTACACTTAGGTAATTACCTAGTTGTGCTTGCAGGTGGTCAAGCTTTGGCTCTTTGGTCCCACCTCTCAACTGTCATAAAATCAAATCAAGGAGCAAGGAACCTTGCTCCTGCACTGCTGAACAAACCCATCTGAAAAGTTGTGTCATGGTCGGGCCTGAAGTCTAATAGGACCTGGAATGCAATGATTGACCAAAGCAGACCCATGGCTATGGCTCAGTGCAGCAACCAATGTGGCCTTGGTCAAAATAATTGAATAAAAGCTTCATCTAAAAATAGTTTGGAGTGTACTCACCTAGTTGTGCTTGCGGGGGTTTGAGCTTTGGCTCTTTGGTCCCGCCTCTCAACCATTAATCTACTGGTAATTACCTAAGTGTAGTTACAGGATGAGAGCTACGCTCGTGGTGTCCCGTTTTCCCAACATGTACAGATTCCTGAGCTTCTCAACCACCATAATAATAATAAAAATAATAATAATTTTATTTAGGTAAGGTACATACATAAAGAGATTTTACAAAGTTTGTTGGCTTTATAGATAGAGCTAGTACATACAATGCCTAAAGCCACTATTACGCAAAGCGTTTCGGGCAGAAACGCTTTGAAACGAAACCATCATATCTACATTTGAAACTGTGTATGGAGTCAGCCTCCATCACATCACTTCCTAGTGCATTTCATTTACCAACTACGAAAATGTTCTTTCTAATGTCTCTGTGGCTCATATGGGTACTCAGCTTCCACTTGTGTCCCCTTGGGCATGTACCATCTATGTTAAATAATCCATCCTTGTCTATTCTGTCAATTCCCCTGAGATTTTGTATGTGGTGATCACGTCTACCCCGGGCTCTTCTGTCTTCCAGCAACGTGACGTGCAGTTCCCTTAGCCTTTCCTCGTAACTCATGCCTCGTAGTTCTGGGACTAGCCTAGTGGCATACCTCTGAACTTTTTCCAGCTTCATTTTGTGCTTGACAAGGTACGGGCTCCATGCTGGAGCCGCATATTCCAGGATTGGCCTTACATACGTGGTATACAAGGTTCTGAAAGATTCCTTACACAGGTTTCTGAAGGCAGTTCTGATGTTAGCCAGCCTCGCATATGCCGCCTATGTTACTCTTTTGATGTGGGCTTCAGGAGACAGGATTGGGGTGATATCAGCTCCTAGATCTTTCTCTCTAGAAAGCCCACATCAAAAGAATGACATCGTTGTGAGAAAGCTAATGTGCCAATTGTCAAGTTTTCCTCAGTAGAGACTTGAACTTTGGTAGATTAAGGTACTAAACCACAAGTATTCTGAGAATTTAATGATATACCATGCATTAACATACAAAATTTAATTGTGTATTATGGATAATTTTTTATATGCCCACTGTATCTTGATACAATCTGGTGTAGCAAATACATGTTTAGTTTAACTATAATGGTGTTCATTGCAACTATTCTTATAACTAACCAATTCCTTGTGAAACATTCAATTTCTAGTAAATGAAGATTCCATTTAAGTGAGACATTACTGAATATTCATATAAACTAGTGAAAGGCTTGCAGGAACTAGATAAACACAGTAACAACAGCCCTCGTGTTCCTCACCAAGTTTATCTCGACAGTACAATAAGATTTTCTCATGATAAATGTTATATTTTATTCCTTTTACAATATCTAAAATCATACACTGTACAAATTAATATTCTAAGCACATTGTACCATACTAAACAAACGACATACATACCCTGACTAGATCACGGACCAGCTTCATTCTCTTCAGCAATAAACACACAACAATAAATCGAGCATAGTACCGAAGCTTCTTGACCATTAAATCTGACCTGCAATAAAAATACACACACACACTTCATCATTAAATAAGAGTGAACAATTTCATGACCTGTACTTCCAATACAAACACACACATGAAACATGATGGTTGCATTCTACATAAATTGGTTTTGTCAGGTACAGGAAACCTGTGTACTAAATACATAAATGTTGCATTGAGGTCCCTTAAAATCAAACTACTGACCCTTTTCCAGGATGCAACCTTGCAACAGTTGCCTAACTCTTGGGCAACTGAATAACTAGCATTAACTATTTACTGCTAGTTAAACAGAGGCATTGGGTGAAAGTTAATGTGCTTGGTGAGGTAAAAAAAAAATTGCAAAATATACAGAATGATACTTTATATCAATACCATGTTCAAAACTATTATTCATGAAATTATTATTTGACATTTAGCTGATGCTATAATTTGGTTGAAGCTGTAGATGAAACAAACCAGCACTGAATGTAATTAAATATCTCTTTCCAATGGGTCCTTGGTGGGTCCTTGGAGCTCACTACCTGACAAACTCCACCCAATTCAATCTATTCCATGCCCTTGTAAGTCTTATACAAGTCCACCAAGGACCAGAGACAAAAACCTGGCCCCCTCTAAAAGAGATACAAAGAGCACGGGATCGTAGATCACCTTAACTAAGAAAAGCAGCAGAAGACCAAATACAAGGTATCATTTGGGAGATGAAATACTTCAAGAGTCAGAGAGAGAGAAAGACCTGGGGGTTGATATCGTGCCAGACCTGTCCCCTGAAGCTCATATCAAGAGGATAACATTAGCAGCATATGCCAGTTTGGCTAACATAAGAACGGCCTTTAGAAACTTGGGTAAGGAATCTTTCAGAACATTATATACCACATATGTCAGACCAATCCTGGAGTATGCGGCTCCAGCATGGAGTCCATATCTAGTCAAGCATAAGACTAAACTGGAAAAGGTTCAAAGGTTTGCCACCAGACTAGTACCCGAGCTGAGAGGTATGAGCTACGAGGAGAGACTACGGGAATTAAACCTCACTTCGTTGGACGACAGAAGAGTTAGGGGGGACATGATCACCACATTCAAGATTCTCAAGGGAATCGACAGAGTAGATAAAGACAGGCTATTTAACACAAGGGGCACACGCACTAGAGGACACAGGTGGAAACTGTGTGCCCAAATGAGCCACAGAGATATTAGAAAGAACTTTTTTAGTGTCAGAGTGGTTGACAAATGGAATGCATTAGGAAGTGATGTGGTGGAGGCTAACTCCATACACAGTTTCAAGTGTAGATACAATAGAGCCCAATAGGCTCAGGAACCTGTACACCTGTTGATTGACAGTTGAGAGGCGGGACCAAAGAGCCAGAGCTCAACCCCCGCAAGCACAACTAGGTGAGTACAACTAGGCGAGTATACACACACAGAACAGTGTGAGGAACAGGACCTAGAAACAGTAAGAATAATGCCCACACGAAAACTGAACCCGTCCCTGAACCAATAATGAATAGGAACATGCCACCAGGTAGCCCATCCTCCTGTTTAGGTTGTGCTTACAGTAACAATGAAGACTCGTACATACATACATTGACATAAGAGGCAATTATAAAGTACAAGTTGGTACTATTGAATTTGGACAAACCAGAAAAGTTTTTGTACTGATGTTGCAAAGAAAACTTTACCTAATCTTCCTAAGGCTAATACACTATTTGAGGCCTACTGTGGTTCATATATATGCTATAATAGGCCTAGAAATAATTAAGTTTGGTTTTAGCTTTATTTTTTTGGACACACTAAAGTGAATAGTACAAAATTCTACTATCTAATTGTCTATTACATCTATAAATGTACGATGGTCCACAAAAAAGTACAAAAAGTACAAAGTTATGAAAAGTAGTATCTAAACAGAATGATGCATTGCAGTAAGCTTCCCGATGGTCCAGGGACACCATCCAGGAATGCTTCTTCATAACTAAGCACACCTCAGCTAAGGTGGTTATATGGAAACTTGGACAAGGAATGAAGTGATTGAAAATGTACCAAAAGGACCAAAATGTATTGTACATCCAAAAACTCATGTATGGGGACGGAACCAACTAGGACACCCACCCACCACATTGGCATGAAGCCACAATTTGTGTATATGAACAAATCTGGCACATAAAATGGCAGCTGGTTGATAAGCAGCTTATAGATGGAGATTTGAAAAATATAACATCCCAATGACCACAAATGTCACAGGGTTCAGGGTGAACATATACCCCACCCAACAGGCAGCACGACAAAAATGGAAAGAACGGCCATCGGAATACATCAAAACTGAGGCACATCCTTCAAAGAAACACCCTGTGATGGCAGGTCCATATTTTTATTTATTTATTTATTTATTTATTTATTTATTTTTTTATTTATTCATATATACAAGAGTTGTTACATTCTTGTACAGCCACTAGTACATGTAGTGTTTCGGGCAAGTCCTTAATCCTATGTTCCCTGGAATACGATCTCAGCAAAGAATCGTTTTTACAACCAAGTACCCATTTTAATGTTGGGTTAAACAGAGGCTACAGTTAAGGATTTGCACCCAGTAAATCCTCCCCGGCCAGGATACAAACACAGGACAAATCGCTTGCGGCATGCCAGGCGAGTGTCTTACCACTACGTCACAGAGACTGCTAAAAGACTACTTTTAGACTGCTCTAAGTCTAAAAGATTGCTATAAGGAGATATGTTTTGATTCATCTCATTTTTATGGTGTCCTTTTCTTAGTTAAGGTGATCTACAATCTCCTGCTCCTTGCACCCCTGTAGAGGGGGTCAAGGTTTTGGCCTCTGGGTCCTGATAGGCTAATACTGTATATAACTTGCAAGAGCCTGGCATGGATTGAATTGGGTGGAGTTTACTTGGTAGCAAGCACCAAGCAGCCACTATAGAAGCCCTCGCAAAAAATTATTAATTGATAAGACTTACATTTGTACAGAGCGATCATCTTTGCTCGTTCTGCTGTAGTATGCTCTGCCTCTGATGGCCGCATAGAAAGAAAATGCTTCATTCAGGTAGTTTGTCTCACTTGTTCGCAGGCTGTAGGAAAAAAAAAAAAAATGAAGCAAGATATGGCAACATCAATTTAATTGAAGAGCACTAAAAGGTTATTCATATGTCTCTCTCGATAACCTACTAAAATCTTCCATAATCAACCAACAATCACTTCTACTGAAACTCCCTTGAAATCTCTCTTCACATATTTGACTGTGCTTAACAGTACAGTCACAAGACACAGTTAAACTTTCATCCTCCACAACCTTATGGTAAATATGACGAAGATAAATGTCATAGACATTTTAAGATTTGAGAATGCAAGCTAACCACAGCAAAATATAAAATTTCATCAATACTTTAGGCAAACACCAATTACAAAACACATTAATGTATATATAGTATCATTAATAACAACTTGCCATCCACCATTCTCAGTATAACAGTGAACAGAAAAACATGCATAATCATTTATTTTTATTAACCGATTCTAATTTTTTTTAAACAAGTCACTTAATTATTTAGTTCTGAAGCTAAACTATCACAACTGTATATGAAAAAACCAGCTTTGAATGTAATGAAATGCCATTTTCTGGGTGAGCCCCAGAAGCTCCCTGGAGCTATCAGACTGATATACTGGGGCTTCAGACTGATTAGTCTGGGGCATTAGTCCCATAGTCTCCGGAGTCCCGGAGACTCCGCGCCAGCTACTCATACTTCCAGTTTGGAGGCTGACCATCAAAAACAAAACCGCCAACCAGAGGCAGGGGGGGTGCCAGGGAGCCTCCGGACTCACCCAGAAAAATGCATTTCATTACATTCAATGCTGGTTATCTGTGGGGAGCCCCTCCGGCTCCCTGGAGCTTCCTAACTAATGACAAGTAAAAGAGGGACTTACCCGAGAGGTGGCCGCCTCACGCACATCAAATCTAATTTGAGACAACTGACTACAACCTGCAATCCAAAGCAACTCACAAACGACCGGGACCAGGAATATTGACCAGATAACGGGCGGTGAGGACCCTATTCGACCTCCAAAACCTTCATGCCAGAATGTCAGCCCAAGACATGCTGCCGAACACAGCATCCAGAGCAGCAAACCTACGAACGTTATGGGCACAAAGCCAGACTGCAGTCTGGCTAGACTTAATAACCCTGCAGACGACCAAGGAGACATGAGCCCTGGAACAGGGAACAAAGGAAACTGGATCAACCCAAAGCGTGTCCCCGGCCACAAAAGTCGAAGCGTGCAGATAACGGCGAAGAACCGCAACCGGACACAACACATGATGCCCCTCCAGCCTAATCAACTAAGCATCAATGACCCAAGGGCTCATCCGGAAGTCCACCTTTTCGTTCTTTGCCAGAAAAGGAGACAAACTGTACATTAACAAACGGACCTCCAAAACCGCGAAAGGGCTGACGAGCAGAGCAGGCATTGTGCTGACCAGACAACGCCAGCTCTGAAAGTGGCACCAACGCCCACCCCAACTGAAACAACCCCGTGCCCTGGCACGACCCTCCCGAGAATGGCCACCCCAGAGAAGCAACAAATCCAACATAGGACGACAACTAGACAAGGCCACCCACAGAAACTGAGTGACAGCAGCTTCCACAAACAGCAACGAACAAAAAACCAGCATCGAATGTAATGAAACGCCCTTTTCTGGGTGAGCCCCGGAGGCTCCTTGGAGCTTATCGAGCTAATGTATGTTATATTAGACCGGGACATTAGCTAAGGAGTTCAGACCTACCAGGAACCAGTGCCAGAACCTGGCCCCTTCAGAGAGGTTTCAGGGAGCAATGGCCCTGGAAAACCCCTTTGTGGTTCGGGGTTTTTATTATCTACCATCGACTGGGGTTAGGCACCCAGAAAGGTAGGTATAACAAAACAAACCCCACATGGTAAAAAACTAAAACAGACAACCGAACAGAGGTAGAAACTCCCTACAATCCTAAGGAAACAAGCAAACATCACACTTTACTGCCGCACCGATCATCTGCATAGCCCTCCACGCCCCGAGAGGGGAAGAGGGGCCCCCAGACCTCATCATGTCGGCTGCCTAGCATCAGTTCGGAAGCTAAGCTTCAACCAACATGAAAAAAACGCCGACCAGTGGTAGGGGGGGTTGCCAGAGAGCCTCTGGGGCTCGCCCAGAAAATGGCGCTTCATTACATTCAATGCTGGTTTTCTGTGGGGAACCCCTACGGGTCCCTGGAGCTTCATACCCAAAGAGAAGGAAAAGAAAGGGCTAACCCAGGAGGTGGCCGCCACAAACTCCAAAACGCGAAGCCGAGACAACAGGCTGCAACCTGCGACCCAAGGCAACACAAGAACGCACAGGAGCAGACACGCACACAAAGAACGGGCAACCAGGAACATGTGCGACCCCAAAATCCTCGCGCCCGAAATGAGCCCTAGAGGTTACCAACACGGCAGCGAAAGCTGCAAACGTTTGAATGGCACAGGCACAAGGATAGACCGCAGGCTGGTAGACTTAAAAACTCTGCGGATGACCTGGTAGACCCTGAGCCCTGAAACACGGAACGAGGGGAACCGGATCAACCCAAAGCGCATCCCCAATCACAGTACACAGGTAACGGCAAAGAGCCGCAACCGGACAACACATGACGCACCCCCCGGCCGAAACAACCAAGCATCAATAACCCAAGGACCCCTCCAGAAAGCAGCCGTCTCGACCGTCGCCAGAAGGACGGAGAAAGGTTGCAAACGTACAAATCTACCACCAGTATCAAAAGTGCAGAAACCCCCTGCACTGGAGGAGAGCCTGAAGCTTCCTGACCCGCAGAGGGCCATGCCAACAAAATATGGCCTATGAAAAACAATCTGGAACTGAAGGGGCTACCACAAACTGAGAAGAAGATAAGAGGGCACCCTGATCAAGGACCAGGAAGGCTCAGGCGATGCATGAGCAGGCCGGAGGTGAAACAAAACCCAAGAAAGCGTACGGAACGGGACGGATGGAACATCCACCCCAAACGCAAGCCGGAGCAGCTCTACCAGTGCTGCATGATAAGAGGCGACAGTAAGAAGCATTAAATAACAGTCCTGAAAACCCAAGACAGGACAAGACAACCCGATGCGAAGGAGAAGACAACCTACGAAGAGCAAGAAAATGAGGAATAGAAACACCAGGAACGTCATACTGTCGCCGAGACGAAGTTCGCAGGTGGGACACCATCAACGAAGCCACCTGATCACCATAGAGATGGTGATACACCCGCGTCAAAAAACCAGACGTGAAGAGCCAAGGAGAAGGCCGAACCAATCGTGTACCGGACCGGTTCGACCTGCCGAAAGAGGCGGAGTCGCGTGGAAAACGCCTCGGGTTCAGACACATATCAAGCAGCGTCTGAAAATAAAGCTGGGCAGGCCACAAGAGACCACGAGGACTACTCTCCTTGGGAATGGACTCCAACCGAGCCAGAACCCGAAGCAACAGCTGGACCGGGAGAAGAGGAACAGGTACCCCCACCTCGACCAGCCCTGCCGAAAGGCATTCATCGTGAACGTCCCGGAGGTCCAGGGACACCATCCAAGCGCCCGGCTCCAAGAGGAGCCAAACCTGAGACAGTGTAGTCATCCGAGAGGGGCAATGAACCGGTCGATGGCAGACATAGAATGCTTCCAACCACACGGGGGTTTCTATAGGCCATTGCTTCCCTTGCTTCTCTGAGGTGGTCCGGTTCTGGCCGTGGTCCCTGGTAGGCTTAAGAACTCCATACACATGACTGATGCCAAAGTCTGACATTAGCATATCAGCCTGGGAAAGCTCCAGGGAGCCTCCGGGACTCACCCAGAAAATGGCGTTTCATTACATTCAACGCTGGTTTTTTAGGTCCAGATAGATGCAGTCAATTCTACCATCTCTTTCTTGCAAAATCTCTGTGGCTCGATCACAGAAACTGAGTAAATTTGATACACAGGATCTTCCAGATCGAAAATCATATTGTCTGTCTGATATTATATCGTTTCTCTACAGATGTTCTACCCATTTCATTTAATGATTTTTTCCAATATTTTGACTATTACACTTGTCAATGATACAGGTCTATAATTGAAGGGGTCTTCCCTGCTGCCACTTTTGTAGATTAGAACTATGTTATCCTTTTTCCACACATCTGCTATGACTCCTGTATACAGGGATGCCTAAAAAATCAGTTCAAGTGGAATGCTGAACTCTGGTGTACATTCTCTAAGAACCCACTGTGAAACTCCATCTGGGCCCACTGCTTTGTTTTTAGTTAGCTCCTTGAGTTTTTGTTTTTTTTACTTCGTCTCTAGACACCTCTATGTGCTCTATGTTGTTCTCTGGAATTCTTATTGTGTCTTGTTCTCTAAAGATTTCATTTTGTACAAACACACTTTGGAACTTTTCGTTAATGTTTCACACATTTCCTTAACATTTTCCGTAAATCTGTTTCCCATTTTCAACCTCTGAATATTATCCTTTACTTGCAATTTGTTGTTTATGAATTTATAGAATAGGCTTGGTTCTGTTTTACATTTGTCTGCTATCCCTTTTTCAAAATTTCTTTTTGCCTCTCTCCTCACTGCCGTGTAGTTGTTTAGGGATTTGGCCTTTTCCATTTTTTGAGTCCATTTTTCCATTTTTGAGTCTTTTTGGTCTCTGGTCCTCTCGCAATTTCTGTTGAACCAATCCTGTTTCCTAGTTCTGCATCTCTGCTTTGGTATAATTTTTTTTGTTTCTTTATCATATATTTCACAAAACTTGACATACATCTCGTTTACTTCATTTCCTAACAGCAAGTCTTTCCAGTCAAATTCCTTAAAGAAATTTCTAAGTTCACCATAATGTCCTTTCCTGAAATCAGGTTTTTCAACTGCTTCAACCTCCTTAATTTCTTCCAGATATAATGCATTGCATACTTTATTCCCTAAAAGACATGGTCACTTTTACCCAAGGGAGGAAGGTACTCATTGTCAAATATCTCTTCTTCTTTCCTGATAAATATCAAATCCAAGCCTGGAGGGACCATCCCTTGCCCTCATCCTCGTGCCTTGTTTAACGTGTTGATACATGAATGTTTCCAGGATGAGGTTTATGAATCTACAGGTCCAAAAGTCCTCTGTTCTAGCTTCATATGCCTCCTAGTCTATGGATTTCAAGTTGAAGTCGCCAACTACCAACAGTCGTGACCTATATCAGCTCTCGCTATAATCTCTCTCTCGTTATTGTTACAAGACCCTCTCGCTTATTATCCAGCTCCTTTGTCCATGTGTTACATGGCAGTGGACTATATGCATTTATGATCATTAGTTCATCATCCTGATTACAGATCTCTAGTGCTATTATGTCAACTTCGTGGATTTGGCAATCATTATTTTATTTACTTTTAGGTGTTCTTTCACCTTCACCAGCACAGCAACGCCACCGCATTTCCTAATTTTTCTGTACCGTTTCCAAGCTGAGAAGCCCCTTAGGAATATGACCTCATTTAAAATATCATCTTCAAGTTTCTTCTCCGTGAGTGCAACAATGCCTGGTGTCTGTAGCTGTGTTACATCACTTAACCCTGCCCTGCCTTAACTTAAATGTGCCCTGGCTCCTCTGTCAGTATTAGCAGGTGAGATGAGCCAGGCTTGAGTTTCCTTTTGGGGGTGTGTTTTGAGAGTGCATTTCTGGCTCCAATGGTGGCTTACACCTCTCTTTGCTGTATTTTCCCGTAAGAGGTTTGTGCCAGTAGTTTCTCCACAATGTATTTTTAAGGATGCTATTTCTAGTGCTCCCTCCAAGTTTGCTGCTGCTGTTTGTTGCTTTCCCAGCTATTATTCGGCTTTGGTGTTTGCCGATAATCACTCTTTCTGTCTGTCATTCCCCCCTGATGAATTGAGTGTATTAATCCCTGGGGTTGTGAGTTCTATCATCAATGGTCCTTTGTTTAAGCAAAGCCTACTTTTAGAAATGTGGCCTCATTACGGGAAAGAGAATTTCAATTTTGTCTCGAGTGGTTTTTGTGGAGTTCAGGCACCTCAGAGTTGGAGCCCCTGATATTTTCTGAAGGTGAATGCTTGGTTATGCAGACATCTTCTAAGTTCACAAACCACCTCATCCCATGTCTGTTCTGGTTGGTCCAGGCTGTGCTGGTGTGGTGCACCTGGCCTCCCTACCGCAGCACTCGGTATGAGGCCCAAAGTATTCAAGGTCTTTTGGGTCTTTAGCTCCACTGGGTTTAGGGACCACAAGAGTTCTCTGAGATAGGGGTGCCCCAGCTAAGTCTGTGGCAAAGGTTTGTTCAGCCAATGGTCCTTGCCAAAATTATGTTGCTGTCTTTTGACTTTTGAAAAGCCTTTCATTACATGTGGTGTGAAATCTTCCTCACGGAGAAAGTTTTTCTTTCTCCTCCTGGGTGTCTGACAGGCAGCTTGGCTTTACCCCTGTGCTACCTTTGAATTTGCATGAGGGAATTCACTCACTAACAGTGGAAAGAAGGGGTCCAAGGTGGTCCCTGGGTGCCCTTGAACCCTCTTTGTTCTCTTGGCTCCTGGGCTCTGAGGGTTCTTTTACTCCATGTAAGATTTTTGCATCCTCAGCCATAGTTTGTATTTATTTCTCTATGGCTCTACCTGTTGATGCATTTCTGAATTTTTATTGTCTGCAGATTTACTTTTCCTACACAGCTTTCCAACATCTCATCTATTCCTGGCTGGGGCGCAGGTGGATGCTTGGTTCCTGTTATGGAACTGGAACTACACTTCAGAAAAAGAGAAAGAAACAGCAGCCTGCTTTGAGTTTCAAACCCATTTCACCTTCATTGTTGAAATTTTAGATTCCTGCTCATCATATCTTGCAGATGATCTCCCATTTTCTTTGGAGGTTTGCACACTTTCATTAGTTTTCAAATGTTCGAATGGCATGAGGTGGGGTCAGAGGTTTAAGGTGATCGATGCAACCATTTTTAGACACTTGGCAGTATGCCACTACTTTTGGCTCTGCTGGTTGTGGCATGGGGCATGTCAGCCAGTTGCATGGGGGGTGGGGCTAGATGCACTGGCAGCAGTGACTGGCATGGTGGCCCTGATTCCTGTACTGGTTAGGCAGAGGGTGTGCTCAAGTTGTTTGCCCCCACCCCCCTCCTGCAGGATATGGTGGCAGATTTCTTTGACGCTCGCCTAACATGTCAGCAGGCTGAACTTTCTCTCATTCAAGGACTGATCTGTCTCTTGTCCAATTTGCCCTCTTCTCCCCTATTATTTCTAGAAATAGTTTCCCAAGAGCTCATAGTGACTGCTGCTTTTCAGGCATTGAGGCAGATGTTTATTGCATGGTGGTTCTGCCGTTGGTTCTGGTTCAGTCTCTGTTATACTTCAGATATTCAGGCCTTGCAACAGCTTTATCAGGGTAGGGTTTCTGTGATGCCAAGTATGTATGAGGTATTGGTGCTGCCTATTAAGTTGGTTTCTTCTTCTAAGTGGGGGCAGTCCAAGTATTCTCAGAAGGGGGGGCACATGTTTGTGCATATAGCACAAACATGGTTAGTGCTAAATCCCCTTTTGTGGTTTGCCACACTGACAATGTTATAAGAGGATGACCGAACATTTTCTCCCACGACTGGATACAAGATGCCTGGGCATTGTGCGTGTTGTCATGGGGGAGGTTGTCTTCAACGCCTCATTTGATGTTGCAGATGCAGACTTTGCTATTTGCTGCACTTCTCTGCTGGATAACTACCAGGGGTGTTTGATGTGGGAGTGGTCAATCTGATGCCCTCAAAGTGAAAATTACATTTGCTTCTGGTACTTCAGCAGAACTCAGCAGAGCCTTGGTTCATTTCTTGTATGTTTTCTTTTTCACAAAACATTTAGGACGAGTTTACCCAACATAACATATGAGGAGAGAAGGTCAGTATGGTTAGGTGTGAGACAGGACGGCAGGAAGGAATATCACAAACTCATGCCAATATGCATTCATAATTTCCCGAATGAATATTTTAAAAGTATTTATTTTGCATTATAAGCTTTGTATTTTTTCTATATTTTCTTATTATGATGATAGAGTACAGTTATGAAGATTAGGCTAACACTATGAAGAGGTGAAGGCTCATGTGGGGAAGAGAACTGTGCCCCACATCACCACTGCCCTCAACTATGCACTCTCACTTTTGCATTATAAACCGAGCATTTTTTTCTTTATTTGCAATGAAATGGGTAGGATGACTTTGTTAAATACACTACATGTAATGATGGAGACTACTATTTACACACTTCAAGTCCCTTATCTAGTGACTCAAACATCTCATGCACACTTCATGTAATTATCTTTCCTTAGTAAATATATGCAGTAAAACGTTTTAACATAATTCGCTACATAATTCTAACAAGTCAACTTATATAACACAAATAATTTAGTATAAATAAGAAAACATTGCAAACTTACATCATATTAAGCTAGTGGCTGAATAACAACTAAGAATAAGCAACTAAAATATAAACAAATCATGTTGACTTACCAATACAGATCACAACCCAAATTTGTTTAAATTTTTTATGGTAATATTTTTGTGCTTCATTATAAGTCACCTGCTGTTTAGTTATTTTCAGATTGAAGTTTAGAGTTTTGGTAGTTAAGATCATAATTGTTATCATTTATTCTTACTATTTTTGAACCAATTGTGATGTATGCATAAACTTACTAGTAGTGGTAGTAAAGCTGACCAATCTTGGAAGCAATCTCTCCAATTTGCCAACGTTTTAATCCAAACTTTGAGTCGAGAACCTGTCTATGTTGCTGCTGAAACTTCCAAAGCTTGGTGTATATGTCAAACGTGCGGCCAAAGTATGCTTGCCATTGTTTGTGGCCATACTGAGGCAGGTCCCTGGAAAAGAATGATCTGAAAGGTAGAGTACATATACATAATAAGAAAATTGATAGATGGAGAGGAGTGAGCGGCATAATTATTATTTATATTCTACAATACGTACCAAATAAATTTAATTAACAACAAAATACTGTACCTAAATAAACCTGTAAAAATTACACCTTGAGAAACTCAGTTCCTACAAATATACAGCAAGATAGGACAAAAAGACTTTCCTTAACCTTTTGGGTGCAATAAGCAGCACCAGTGGTTGATAGCAAAAAACCCAGCGTCGATTGTAATGAAACACCAATTTCTAGGTGAATCCCAGTGGCTCCCTGAAACTACTACAGTACATTGATAGAGTGCCATACTCCTAGGTGCCGTCATTAGGTGACGGCCTAGGTGCCGTCATACTCCTAGATGCTGTCTTAAGAGTTTTTAGCCCCTGAGTTCGGGGCTCACCCAGAAATTAGCATTCCATTACAGTCAAAACTGGTTTTCTCGGAGTAGCCTCTTGTGGCTCACTGAAGATATTTACCCATGGAGAAAAGTAAAAAACCAGCATTGAGATAATGAAATGCCAGTTTCTGGGTGAGCCCCAGAGGCTCCCTGAGCTATCCCACTGATATAGTACTATCCTATTTGGGGTCATCAGTCACAGAGTTCTTGTTGCCTACAGGGGACCAGAACAAGACCCTGGCCACCTCAGAAAGATGCAGAGAGCAATGGCCTATGAGCTCTTTACATTTAAAGCATGTCATACCTACCAGGTAAGGCACCCAGAGAGGTAGGCGAATCAAAACAGACCACTGTCTGGTTGAAAACTATGAGCAATGTCCTCAGAGCAAAACAACTCCCCCAGAAAAACTTTAACAGGCAACTCCAACTAGCCCCCCCACACTACTTCCCCTCCCACCATCTTACCCCATGGGAGAAGGGGAGCTGGCAACTACCAATTCATTTCTTGAATGATGAAAGCCTCCCAATTGACGGAAGGGAGGGTGTCAGGAAGCCTCTGGGGCTCACTAAGAAACTTGAGTTTCATTACATTTAATGCTGTTTTTTTTTGTGGAGAGCCCCATCAGCTCCCTGGAGTTAACTACCCACAGAGAAGGTAAACAGGGACTTAGCAGGAAGGCGGCAGCACCACAGGTTTTAAAGTGAGGAAGAGACAGACGGCAGCGACAGGCACCCCAAAGCCCCACAATGCCACAGAGGAATTGGGACGTTCACAAGATACCTGTCAGCCAGGACCCTGTTCAATCTCCAAAACCCCTGCACCCGAAAATCGTCCCAAGACATTACCAAAAACAGGCGAAAGAGTGCCATACTGTACATCCTAACACCATGGGCACGATGGTAGACCACAGGCTGGCTGCACTTTATGACACTGCAGACAAAGAAACACGCGCACTGGAACAGGGAACTAGGGAAACCGGATCAACCCTGAGCGTGTCCACTAACACACAAACGGTGGCTCACAGGTAGTGGCGTAAAGCAGCTACCGGACACAGCACGTGATGCACCTTCAACCTGACCAACCAATTATCCACAACCAACGGACAAAGTCTGAAGTCTGCCGACTCATTCTTTGCCAGAAAAGGAGAGACTGCAAATGAACAAAGCGACTACCAGGACCAAAGGAACTACAGAGCACCACTTGGTTTCCGAACTTCAGTTATCCGAAACTTCCAGTTTCCCGATTGGGGTTGGGGAGTCATGCTACCCGAACAAAGTTCGGGTAGGAAGGGGTCCGCCAAGCGTCACGCCGGCTTGTTGTGGTGGGTGGGAGATGGTCCAGTTTGCCCGCTGTGACTTCACAGATTCACGGCCTATTATTCCTATTATTTTGAATTGCCATAAGGCTGGAATGTTCATTCTGTGCTTTTGTTTTACATATCTGCACAATCAAGAAACATCTGTGCACCATGTTGGCTCCAAATGCACGCATTGCGTCAGTGATGGCTGACTGGTGGGTGGATGGACGATGGAGCTCAGGTGGGAGGCAGTATGAATGAGGGGGGGGGGGTGAGAATCAGTGAGAGAGGGGGAGAGAGAGATGCTAGGAGGGAGGGGGAGGTAGGGAGAGATGTTAGGAGGTAGGGAGAGATGCTAAGAGGGAGGGGGAGGTAGGGAAAGATGCTAGGAGGTAGGCAGGAAGGGATGGAAGTAGTGAGAATTAGGGAGGGAAAGGCAGGCTGGCAGGCACAGGCTGGCAGGCACAGGCAGGCAGGACACAGGCAGGCAGGCAGGCAGGCAGGCAGCAGGGAGTGAGTGGTAGTCACGCGGTTGAACCGCGTGACCTTGAGAGATGGGATGTAGGGGGGCGGGTGGTTTGTTGGTGGTGGGGGTGAGACCGGCTCATTCCCGAAGATAAGCCTAACACACACTACCCGTTAGCATGATGGCAGGGAGTAGGAGGCAGGCTGGCTGGAAAGGAAGCAGGCTGGCAGGCTGGGAAGGAGGCAGGCAGGCATGCTGGGAAGCAGGCTGGGAAGGAGGCAGGGCAGGCAGGCTTGCAGGCTGGGAAGGAGGCAGGCAGGCAGGCAGGCTTGCAGGCTGGGAAGGAGGCAGGCAGGCAGGCAGGCTTGCAGGCTGGGAAGGAGGCAGGCAAGCAGGCAGGGCTTGCAGGCTGGGAAGGAGGCAGGCTTGCAGGCTGGGAGGAGGCAGGCAGGCAGGCTTGCAGGCTGGGAAGGAGGCAGGCAGGCAGGCTTGCAGGCTGGGAAGGAGGCAGGCAAGCAGGCTTGCAGGCTGGGAAGGAGGCAAGCAGGCAGGCAGGCTTGCAGGCTGGGAAGGAGGCAGGCAGGCTTGCAGGCTGGGAAGGAGGCAGGCAGGCAGGCTTGCAGGCTGGGAAGGAGGCAGGCAGGCAGGCAGGCTTGCAGGCTGGGAAGGAGGCAGGCAGGCAGGCAGGCAGGCTTGCAGGCTGGGAAGGAGGCAGGCAGGCTTGCAGGCTTGGAAGGTGGCATGCAGGCAGGCAGGCTTGCAGGCTTGGATGGAGGCAGGCAGGCTTGCAGGCTGGGAAGGAGGCAGGCAGGCAGGCAGGCTGGGAAGGAGGGAGGCAGGCAGGCAGGCTTGCAGGCTGGGAAGGAGGCAGGCAGGCAGGCAGGCTTGTAGGCTGGAATGGAGGCAGGCAGGCAGGCAGGCTCTCAGGCTGGGAAGGAGGCAGGCAGGCAGGCAGGCTTGCAGGCTGGGAAGGAGGCAGGCAGGCAGGCAGGCTTGCAGGCTGGGAAGGAGGCAGGCAGGCAGGCAGGCTTGCAGGCTGGGAAGGAGGCAGGCAGGCAGGCAGGCAGGCAGGCTTGCAGGCTGGAGGGAGGCAGGCAGGCTTGCAGGCTGGGAAGGAGGCAGGCAGGCTTGCAGGCTGGGAAGGAGGCAGGCAGGCAGGCTTGCAGGCTGGGAAGGAGGCAGGCAGGCAGGCAGGCTTGCAGGCTGGGAAGGAGGCAGGCAGGCAGGCAGGCAGGCAGGCTTGCAGGCTGGGAAGGAGGCAGGCAGGCAGGAAGCGATATATGGGTGTTGAAGTGAACCATGAACCACGTGACCTTTGAGTGTGTGTGTGTGTGTGTGGTGTAGTTTGGGGTGGGGGGAGAGGGGGAGGTGTATCGGTGGAGGGGGAGGGACCGGCTGACTCCGTAAGCCTAACCACACTCCACAGACCTGTGACCCAGATTTGTTTCTTAAATGTACAGTACATCATCGTATATTTTAGGCAGGATGTGCCTGCAGGCTGGCAGGAAACATCCAGAGGATGTTTGCCAGACGTCTTAATAATCAGTTAGGAACAATTAAGGACTTTTATAAAGCGGATCAGGACTTCACTTATTGGTGAGTACAAACAAAACACAGTCGCATTTACGCTATGAACCTGTCGATTTTTTTCCCTAGAGTTTTTCGTGAATTTTTTCGGAAAAATTTCTTTTTACATTTCTAGTTTATTTTTTCCCCTCTATTTCTCGTATACGAACTTACATGTTAACCGACGGGTCTCGTCCCCAAGGGGTTCGGAAACAAAGTGGTGCTCTGTAGTGACCCTTTGCCTCGAATAATGCCTCTAAAAAACCAGCGTTGAATGTAATGAAACAGCATTTTCTGGTTGAGTCCCGGAGGCTCCCCGGAGCTTTCCCAGGCTGATATGCTAATGTCAGACTTTGGCATCAGTCATGTGTATGAAGTTCTTAGGCCTACCGAGGACCACGGCCAGAACCGAGCCCCCTCAGAGGCAAGGGGAGCAATGGCCTATAGAAACCCCCGTGTGGTTGGAAACATTCTGTCTGCCATCGACCAGAACAGGCACCCAGAAAGGTAAGCGCCTCAAAATAAACCCCTATTCTGGTTAAAATTGCTACCAAAAGCCGAACTCCCCAACAGAAAACAAGCAAACTAGTGTGATTTCACACGTCGCCGCGCCGCTTTCTGTGCAGCTTCCCCCTCCCCGGAAAGGGGGAAGGGGGAGCCCCAGACCCTTCACACCGGCTACCCACACCTCAATTCCGAGGCTGGATGTCAAAAACACGAAAAACCTCTGACCGGAGGGAGGGAGGGATGCCAGGGAGCCTCCGGGACTCACCCAGAAAATGGTGTTTCATTACATTCAATGCTGGTTTTCTGGGGGGAGCCCCGTCAGCTCCCCGGAGCTAACTACCCACAGACGGAAAAAGAGGGACTTACCCGGGAGGCGGTCGTCGCTCACTCCTCAATTCGAATTCAAGACAACTGGCTGCAACCGCCGACCCAACGCAACACAGGCCCAACAGGGCCCAGGGACATTCCCGAGGTAATGAGCAGCCAGGACTCTGTTCGACCACCAAAAACCCCGCGCCTGAATATCAGACCAAGACATATTCCCAAAGACGGCAGCAAGAGCTGCGAACTTAAGGATGTCATGGGCACGGGAATAGACCGCAGGCTGGCTGGATTTGATAACCCTGCGGACGACCTGGGAGACCCGAACCCGCGAACAGGGAAGAAGGGAAACCAGATCAACCCAAAGCGCATCCCCGGACACAAAAGCCGTGGCATGCAAATAACGGCAAAGA